GTGGCTTCGCGCGCGAAGGTTTGGTGCTTAGGGTTTAGGGTTTAGGGTTTATGGTCTAGGGTTTCGGGTTTAGGGTTTAGGGTTGGGCTAGGATGAACACTAGTACCGCGATTTCCTCTTGATTTCGGTCAGGATGCTAAACCCTAAATACACCCTAAACCCTAAACCCGAAGCCAAAGGCATCGTTTTTCGCAGCGTGCTAGGTTACTCGGTAACAGACGAAGACCCCTCAGTGAGGGCTGGAGGTTGGGTTAAGTCTAACGGTAGTTTCGTGGGCCCTTAATATGTCCCTTACCCTCTGTAATGGGTTCTGATGTACCCTTTTAAGGGCCCATACTAAAGGACCATGTTACTACCCGAAGATTAAGCTAATCCTGTGTGGATGTATTTCGACTGCTTGATCTAGTTGGGTACAGTGATTGAGCAGGTTCGATGAAATGCTCAGCTTTCTGGGAACTGTTGAGTTAGATGGCCACGTTCTCTAATATATTCTCTCTTGATCCAGTGGGCCGCCTCACAGCAGGAACCCCAAGTCCTAAACCCCAATCCCCAAACCCCTGGACCCTAAGTGCTTCACGCTAAACCCTACACCACCCCTAGTAGCCTGAACCCTAGTCATTGAGAACTCCCAAGAGGCATCCAGATTTTGCCTTGTCGGGTTTAATTCGTGTGTGTGTATATATATATATATGTGAGAGGGACCTTTTGGGTCCATTTCACGTATATCACTTGTATGAGGAATTTAATTTATTTACCGATTAATTTCTTTAATTTCTTTAATTTCTGGGGCTCTCTTAGGGAAATAAATGAAATTAAAGAAATTAATTAATTTCATTAATTTCTTTAATTTCTGGGCCTCTCTGTGCGAAATTAAAGAAATTAAAGAAATTAATTAATTTCTTTAATTTCATTAATTTCATTAATTTCTTTTATTTATTTTAATTAGTCCCGTGAGCCGGGGGGGCTCCCCCAATTAATTTCTTTAATTTCTTTAATTTCTGGGCCTCTCTGTGAGAAATTCAAGAAATTAAAGAAATTAATTCAGGTAGCCCTTCGGGCTTGCGAGACTAATTAAAAGAAATTAAAGAAATTAATGAAATTAAAGAAATTAATGAAATTAATTAATTTCTTTAATTTCTTTAATTTCTGGGCCTCTCTGTGAGAAATTAAAGAAATTAAAGAAATTAATTAATTTCATTAATTTCTTTAATTTCCGGGCCTCTCTGTGAGAAATTAAAGAAATTAAAGAAATTAAATAATTTCATTAATTTCTTTAATTTCTGGGCCTCTCTGTGCGAAATTAAAGAAATTAAAGAAATTAATTAATTTCTTTAATTTCATTAATTTCTTTAATTTATTTTAATTAGTCCCGTGAGCCGGGGGGCACCCCCCAATTAATTTCTTTAATTTCTTTAATTTCTGGGCCTCTCTGTGACAAATTAAAGAAATTAAAGAAATTAATTCCGGTAGCCCTTCGGGCTTGCGAGACTAATTAAAAGAAATTAAAGAAATTAATGAAATTAAAGAAATTAATGAAATTAATTAATTTCTTTAATTTCTTTAATTTCTGGGCCTCTCTGTGAGAAATTAAAGAAATTAAAGAAATTAATTAATTTCATTAATTTCTTTAATTTCTGGGCCTCTCTGTGAGAAATTAAAGAAATTAAAGAAATTAATTAATTTCATTAATTTCTTTAATTTCTGGGACTCTCTGTGCGAAATTAAAGAAATTAAAGAAATTAATTAATTTCTTTAATTTCATTAATTTCATTAATTTCATTAATTTCTTTAATTTATTTTAATTAGTCCCGTGAGCCGGGGGGGGGGCCCCAATTAATTTCTTTAATTTCTTTAATTTCTGGGCCTCTCTGTGAGAAATTAAAGAAATTAAAGAAATTAATTCCGGTAGCCCTTCGGGCTTGCGAGACTAATTAAAAGAAATTAATGAAATTAAAGAAATTAAAGAAATTAATGAAATTAATTAATTTCTTTAATTTCTTTAATTTCTGGGCCTCTCTGTGAAAAATTAAAGAAATTAAAGAAATTAAAGAAATTAATTCCGGTAGCCCTTCGGGCTTGCGAGACTAATTAAAAGAAATTAATGAAATTAAAGAAATTAAAGAAATTAATGAAATTAATTAATTTCTTTCATTTCTTTAATTTCTGGGCCTCTCTGTGAAAAATTAAAGAAATTAAAGAAATTAATTAATTTCATTAATTTCTTTAATTTCTGGGCCTCTCCGTGAGAAATTAAAGAAATTATATAATTTCATTAATTTCTTTAATTTCTGGGCCTCTCTGTGCGAAATTAAAGAAATTAATTAATTTCTTTAATTTCAATAATTTCATTAATTTCTTTAATTTATTTTAATTAGTCCCGTGAGCCGGGGGGGCTACCCCAATTAATTTCTTTAATTTCTTTAATTTCTGTGCCTCTCTGTGAGAAATTAAAGAAATTAAAGAAATTAATTCCGGTAGCCCTTCGGGCTTGCGAGACTAATTAAAAGAAATTAATGAAATTAAAGAAATTAAAGAAATTAATGAAATTAATTAATTTCTTTAATTTCTTTAATTTCTGGGCCTCTCTGTGAGAAATTAAAGAAATTAAAGAAATTAATTAATTTCATTAATTTCTTTAATTTCTGGGCCTCTCTGTGAGAAATTAAAGAAATTAAAGAAATTAATTAATTTCATTAATTTCTTTAATTTCTGGGCCTCTCTGTGCGAAATTAAAGAAATTAAAGAAATTAATTAATTTCTTTAATTTCATTAATTTCATTAATTTCTTTAATTTATTTTAATTAGTCCCGTGAGCCGGGGGGGGGCCCCCAATTAATTTCTTTAATTTCTTTAATTTCTGGGCCTCTCTGTGAGAAATTAAAGAAATTAAAGAAATTAATTCCGGTAGCCCTTCGGGCTTGCGAGACTAATTAAAAGAAATTAATGAAATTAAAGAAATTAAAGAAATTAATGAAATTAATGAAATTAATGAAATTAATGAAATTAATTAATTTCTTTAATTTCTCCAATTTCTGGGCCTCTATGTGAGAAATTAAAGAAATTAAAGAAATTAATTAATTTCATTAATTTCTTTAATTTCTGGGCCTCTCTGTGAGAAATTAATGAAATTAATTTCTGTAGTTTCTCTACTTTCAGAGCCTATCTGTGAGAAATCAAAGAAACTAAATACATTAATCAATTTCTTTAATTTGATCAATTTCATTAATTTCTTTTATTTAAACTAATCCCGTGAGCCGGGTAATTAATTTTTGTAATTTCTTTATTTTCTAGGCCTCTCTGTGAGAAATTAAAGAAATTAACAAAAAACATCCGGTAGCCGCGTGGGGTTGCGAGACTAACTAAAAGAAATTAAAGAAAGTAATGAAATTAATTAATTTCTCTGGCTTTTTAATTGCTAAGCCTCTCTGTGAGAAATTAGAGAAATTCAAGCAATTAACCATCCTCTTTAATTTCTTGATTTTCTGGGCCTCTTTAAGCCTTCGTGCATCTTTATCGCGTTCCCTTTTCTATCCCTTACTTTCGTGCTGAAACCATCACCCTTTCTTTCCCTTAATTTCCCCATTCATCCCTTAAAGAAAGGGACGCCTTCAAGATGTAGGAAGGATTTTTCATATAGTTGTGTGTACAATGGCTTGGTACTAGCGCTCTAATTTTCAAGAAGCTGTTTTGCATGTAATGTGTGTCACGAGTTTGCTACGTTCATAGGCAGACTATGTAAATACACCCTCTCTAAACAAACCATTTTCCCTAAACCCTGAACCCTAAACTCTAAACCCTAAACCCTAAACGCTCAAAGACTCCTACGGCCTCCAGGCCCTCTAAGAATCCCAAGTTCTCTAAGACTCCCAAGCCCCCTACACTTCCTAAGGCCCCGAAGCTCCCCAGGCCCCCTGAGCCCGCCAAGCCTCCTTAAGTCCCGTAAGCTCCCTAAGCTGTCGAAGCCCCCTTACTCCCTAAACAATTTCGCAGAGCAAGCAGACAGAATTTCAGGACTACAAGCAATCGGTCATGAGCTGTCCTGCAGGCAACGCCTCCACCCAAAGCGTAACTTAAAATTTCCCTGATGTTTCCCTGTTGCGCTTTTTTTTGGCCCCGATTGTTTCAGGGAAGTTTTCCCTTGAAACCCCTGTGTAGTACTCAACGCACCGCAAATCGATGCTTTCGGGCCAATCGTCTTCTAGTTTAAATTAGTCCCGTGAGCCGGGTGGGCTCCCCCAATTAATTTCTTTAATTTCTTTAATTTCTGGGTCTCTCTGTGAGAAATTAAAGAAATTAAAGAAATAAAAAAGAAATTAAAGAAATTAATTCAGGCAGCCGTTCGGGCTTGCGAGACTAATTAAAAGAAATTAATGAAATTAAAGAAATTAAAGAAATTAATGAAATTAATGAAATTAATTAATTTCTTTAATTTCTTTAATTTCTGGGCCTCTCTGTGAGAAAATTAAAGAAATTAAAGAAATTAATTAATTTCATTAATTTCTTTAATTTCGGGGCCTCTCTGTGAGAAATTAAAGAAATTAAAGAAATTAATTAATTTCATTAATTTCTTTAATTTCTGGGCCTCTCTGTGCGAAATTAAAGAAATTAAAGAAATCAATTAATTTCTTTAAAATTCAAACAATAAAGAAATCAAAGAAATTAAAGAAATTAATGAAATTCATGAAACTAATTCCGGCAGCTGTTCGGGCTTGCGAGATTAATGAAAACAAATTAAAGAAATTCACAATTCATTAATTTCCGTAACTTCTTCCTGTCTGTGAGAACAACAAGAAATGCAAGAAGTTAATTCCGGTAGTCGTTCGGGCTTACCAAAAGCAAAGGAGAATCACGTCCCATTGAAAGATAGACGAGTTGTGTCTTTGTACGTTGCGAGGTGGGGGAGCTCTTTCACAAGAGGTAGGTAGAGGACTCTCTCATGTCCGGCAAAGAGATAGAGACGATCTTTCATGACCCGCTACGAAATAGAGGAGCCTCTTTCA